CCCCTCCCCCCTCTTCTCCACCCTATCCTCTCACAAGCCCCCCCACTCAAGGATGCCTTGAGCACGAACAAATCTCCGCAAGTGCTCTCGGTCGCTCGTGCTGCGTTTGTACCACGGTACACGTACTGCGCTACCCCCCCACCCCACCCCCCCTGGCGAAGGGTCTAGCCGCTAAGGCATGCAAAACATGAGTGCTCCCCCCACCTGACTGTCTGATTCCCTCTCCAATTGGACACCTTGACGTTGATACCTTATATCGAAACGAAGCCCTTGACACTCGTTGTAGGTCCCCTTGTGCACTCTTGTAGATGGTGGCGCTAGTTCTATCGCTGTTTGCAACCGCTTTCTACCCCCCTCATGTTTCCGTCACTTTTTTTTTACCACATCCAGCTTTTCCTCGCTCCGATTTCTGCCCTGGCTTCGACCCTCTTTTCAAGACAATGTTTGGGCACTTGGATTATCACACATATTGTTGTTGTATGTTAGTGGTGTTGCTTAGCCTAATTTCACCCTTTGTTTGCTTAATAGTTTTTTTTTTCTCCCATCATTGGACTCTGTCGACTGCCCCTCTGGCCCCTATCCTCCACTTCTACTAGCTAGACGACCTAACCTGAGATATTTTTATCGCGAGAAGGGTACAGCAATCCCTTCCCTCGCGACTTGCGACGTCGATTATGGTTTACTAACAACGAACTTTGCAGCCCGTCGCTTTCATCCTAGACCAGGATTTATTCAGGGGGAAAAAACCCACTCTGCCGAAACTCGAACCCATGACCCGACCCGTGGCAGGCTGCGAGGGTACCCACTAGACCACCGGGGCGACCGGTGTATATTACTGTAGATGTGGCATTGCTGCAGTAGTCCTGTTTCTAGCCCTATTTATCCCACTGCCGTACCTAGCAGAGCCACTTTTGAAGTTCTGGCGCTTTTTCCCGCACCATTTCACCCATTATATCGTGGCACTTGTGTAGTTCTAGGGCCAATTCTACGGCACCATTTCCTCCACTTCCTCGAAGTTCTAGTCTATCTGTCGTTTTTTTCTTTTGACTTCCGGACTCTTTGGGCCCATTTTCTTTTTTTGGTCTTCCTTTTTTATGCGTAGTTAGTCTGTGACTACGGGAATCGACCGCGTCAACTGTTAGACTAGTACGGACAGATGCAGGTACTAGGTAGAGAGATCTGAACGGTCTTCAATGTGAGGACAACAAGAACAACAACTCGAAGATTAATCTACCCTCGCCCCTTGATGGTTCGTCCCAGGTCTGCGCTAGGGCGAGTCATCAACTCCCTCGTAGAAGGTGCCGGCGCTGGACACGTGAGTTGTTGTCATCCCGTCATTGTTTTTTCTTTTGCAACTGGTGTCCTTGTTGTTGTTGCTGCTGCTGCTGCTGCTGCTGCTGCTGCTGCTGCTGCTGCTGCTGCTGCTGCTGCTGCTGCTGCTGCTGCTGCTGCTGCTTCGACCATATGCGTTTTTTTTTTCTTTTTTTCGAGGACCATTTCATTTTTTTTTTCATCTCGAGGAACACATAATCTTTTTTTCCTTGTTTCGACGACCATGTACGTTTTTTTTTTTCGAGGACCATGCATTTTTTTTTCTTTGTTTCGAGGACCGTATCATTTTTTTTTCGAGAACCGTACCATCTATTTGTCTTATTTTCTTGTTTTCGAGCATCATGGCCTGATGCTGTCGTTTTTCGAGGACGATCCCACAAGTATAACCAAAACCACCAACAATAACCCTTCCCACGACGATACAGGTGCCCTACCGCGACTCGAAGCTGACCCGTTTGATGGCGCATTCCCTGGGAGGCAACAGCAAGACAGTGCTCGTTGCGACGGTCTCGGCAGGCGTGCCGAATGCCGGGGAGACGCTCTCCACGCTCAAGGTATGTGTGTGTGTGTGTGTGTGTGTGTGTGTTGGTGCTTGCTGCCGATGCTTTGCCGTTGCTGTTGTTGCTGCTGCTGCGGTCGGTTGCTATTGCTTGCGGTGACGGTGGCGGTGACGGTGACGGTGGTGGTGGTCATGGTAGTGTTGTTGATGCTGCTGCTGCTGGTGTTGCTGCTGCTGGCGTTGGTTGCTCTCCAGGGCTAGCGCCCGTAGTCTGTGAGTGTTCGGCGTAGCGCAGACATCTGTAGGTCAGTGCAGCATATTGTCAACAATCCTTCCAATCTATCCATCGCTATTCTTCAGGGAAAAACTGTCGCGAGGACGGCCAAATACCAAGCCCACTTACGTTCATGACGAGTCCTCGCGACAGTTTTTCCCTGAAGAATAGCGATGGATAGATTGGAAGGATTGTTGACAATATGCTGCACTGACCTACAGATGTCTGCGCTACGCCGAACACTCACAGACTACGGGCGCTAGCGCGGGAAAGCCACAGCATCTGATGGTGGTCATAGTGCTGCTGCTGTTTGTTGTTACATGGATCATGGTATTGTTGGTAGTGTTTGTTGTTGATGCTACTGTTGCTGCTCTAAGGTGTTACTGGTGATGATGCTTTTCTCTTTGTCTCCGTCGCTCTCTCTCTCTCTCTCTCTCTCTCTCTCTCTCTCTCTCTCTCTTTCTCTCTGTCTCTCTCTC